TATTGAATGTATATATGTTAAATATAATTGAATCCATTTATAAAAATAATTTAATTGATTAATATAATATGTCATGATTACATAAATTAAGTAAATGATCTTATTTTCTATTATTAGAGTCCCGTCACATCTTAGAATCATTTCACATGCTATAGTCATCGTCACCAGGAGTCAAACGTGGCCAAACTTTACTTGCTTACAAAACTATAATTTCTCTCATTTCTTACCAATTACGAATGTGTTCTAATTACATTCAAATCTGTTCACTATAATGTTCCAATTTCGGGAATTTACAATCTGCTTTGTTACAAATTCATGTAATATTATATATATATATATATATATAGATATATATATATATATATATATATATATATATATATAATATATTATATATATATATATATTATTAAATATGACCGAAAAAGTAAGATTAATAATTCTAACACGAATTTTCTCGTTCTTCGTACATTCTTTTCACTGTTGGTGGAAATTCAAAAATCAATTCTCCAAAATTGATTTTTGGTAGAGGTAGAAAAGAGGTAGAAAATAAAAATGAATTTTGGAGAATTGATTTTTGAATTACCACCAACAGTGAAAAGAAATGTACGAAAGATCGAGAAAATTCGTGTTAGAATTATTAATCTTACTTTTTCGGTCATATTTAATAATATATATATATATATATATATATCTATATATATATATATATATATATATATATATATATATATATATATATATATATATATATATAAATATATATAACACGATATACGATATATGTAGTATAATACACAAAATGGTAGACAAAAACGTTATACGGTTCACTCACCGTTATATGGTATACATAGTTACATGGTATATACAACATTACATGGCACATAAAACGTTACATGGTACACTTCATAGTTTGTACAATGAGGTCGTGGCTTCAACAACTTGTGAGTCCCTGAAGCCAACACGAGCAGATATCTGTAGCTCTCTCACCCTCAAAAGAAATATATTAAACGGCTCTTTTTGCCGTTTTTATTGATTAATGAAAATAATTAATTTCAGTAGTTTAAGAGATAATAATTACCTATTTTCATCTAAATCTCTTAATCAAGTTATTTACTTTCTCGGTAATCAACAATTCCCGCTAATGAGGCTCTGTCATTTTGAACGAATACCTTCATAGTATATTTGACTATGTAATTAAACATTATCATAATTAAACATGCAATATAATTGTTGACTGCTAGTGTTAATGTTAAATGGGTTCAAAGGAAATTATTGCGTGTTTAATTTGTGTGATGGGAGAGTGAGGGAGTGGAACTATCTCCATATAACAATGCTCCATAAATTTAGATAAGGTGGAATCTTAGGTGGGAGGATTGAACCACTCTTCAACGCTCACCCCTCACTACTCACCCCTAAACTCTCAATCCTCAAACTAAGCGCTTCCACGTCAATCCTCATCCTTCGGCATCCATCATCGCACATTTAGGTCCCCACGCCTCCCCCCTCAAGTACCACACGTAAACTCCGGCCTCACCTTTCACCTCGCCTCACCTCTCACCTCGCCCACGCCAACTGGTAAACAAGACCACGATGAAACTGTAGCGCAAATACTGGAGGCGCATCCCTTTCATAAACAAATTTATGTTCTCCACTTCCATGCATCTCACCCTCCACCTTCCCTGTCCCCTCACCCTCAACCTTCCCTGTCCCCTCACCCTCCACCTTCCATTGCCCCCCCTCACCCTCCATCATTACTCCCCCCTTACCTTTAGAGTGCAGAACCCCCGCCCACCTTACAACTCATCCAGTAGCTTCTCTTAGTGATGTAAGCGAAGGAAATCCACGGTCGTCCCTTATGGCAAGTTATCCAATTAGCTGAGGACTAGTCCCAGAGCCCCCCCCCCCTATGGGTGGTGAGGGAGGGGTGCTGGGGTCAGGTAGAGGGGGGAGGGGGTGGACGACTGGAGGGATGAGGGGTTAAAGGGGGTTCAGGAGGGAGATAATGAGAGTGTTTAGAAGTGATAATGTGAGGGAGAGTGGGAGAAAGAGAATGAGGAGATAAAAATTAGGTAGAGTGAGAAAAATATTCCCGATACCTAAGTGTTGTGTATTCCAGGGTAATGTACCCAAAGGTAGCGTACCCAAAAGTGGTGAACCCCAGGATAGTGTACCCTAGGGTAGTGTACCCAAGGGTAGTGTACCCAAGAGTGGTGTACCCTACGGTAATATATCCCAGGGTAGTGTACCCCAGGGTAACGTACGTTGTAAAATACAGTAAAATAACGATTCATCTAGAGACATCGAGATAGATATGTTGCTCCCAGTACCACTGAAATGTCGCAACTTCCTGCATCTTATGTTGCATGCAAGATGAGGGTTGTTGAGCCAGTCGGCGTCTCCCACCTCACTTCCTCTCCGCTTACCCATGTCTACTTGTCAACCTGTTGCATCCCAAACGTGTCCAAGACACATGTTGAAGCTTTAGGTGCAGACTATGTTAGTCCCTACGTACTAGAGGTAGAGTATGTTAGTCCTTTTCTGACTTTACCCGTCTCTTCTCTCTCTCTCTCTCTCTCTCTCTCTCTCTCTCTCTCTCTCTCTCTCTCTCTCTCTCTCTCTCTCTCTCTCTCTCTCTCTCTCTCTCTCTGAGCATGTCAATTTGGCCAAGCTGAAGACTCCGAGAAGTGACTTCTCATCACTAACTATCTTTTCAACTATTTTCATCACCTACCAAATTAACTGAGTTAATAGTTTTCATGAAAATCGCACTTGGTGGTATGGTTTCAGTCTTATATTTCTTAAAACATTAAACTTAGGCTTTCCTCGCCCAGCCTACGTCCGTCCCGTACCCCAGACCATTACCCCTTCAAATTTGGATGAGGCTAGCCCCATGCCTCTAGCTTCCACCTTTAGACACACAACACAAACATTCTTTCCTCTATATAACACAATAATACAAATATATGTTCAAAGATAAAATTAAAATTAATTACTGAGCCAGTTTTGGGGATGAAACCTCCTGCTGACAACAGAAATAGGGAGAATGTTTGCAAGAAATATTGATAGAGTGGAGCTGAGGTGACACTGAGACCAGGTGTAATTACCTTCGACAACCTCTTATGATCACCAGAGGTTGTAAGTGGATCATTCAATTACCTTATTAATTTGTCTTGACGGAGCACAGCGAGAGAGGCAGGTAAGGACAGGTGCGTCTATGGAGCAGAAGATTTTTGTCTGTCTTTCTATTTATGTCTGTGTCTCAGTATCACTGTCCCTTTGTATATTTTTTCTGTTTTTATTTTGTTTTCATTGTATATAATACATCTATTTGTATAATCTTTTTCCACCTGCCTTCTCTTTTCTTTGGTACCATTCAATTTCAATAACACTCCTTGTTTCATTCTACTCTCTCACTTCCAATATCCCCTTTCTCACGGTTTCTTCTCCTCCTCCTCATCTTCCACTCCTCCTGCTCCTCCTCCATCTCCTCCTTCTAATCCTCCACAAATAACATCCAGTAGCTATTGCCTGAGGGCCGCGGCCTGGTCCTGAAGACGAGCTCTTAGGAGTTGAATTTATAACCTCGGCAGAGAGAGAGAGAGAGAGAGAGAGAGAGAGAGAGAGAGAGAGAGAGGAGAGAGAGAGAGAGAGAGATACAATAATAAATATATAAATGATATATGATGTTACTTTCATTTTCTGCACATTCACCGCAAGCTGTGGTCTCTCACATACATCAACAAACTCCATTTCTATACATTAACTTTCGACCTGACATCAACATTCATCACGTCTGATATGATCCAGTTGTTCTTATCATTCACCAGTTTCACAACTTTTTCTGGTTAGGTCATACTCCTCCTTCCTGATGATGACCCTCGTCCTTCATCACCTCCTGCTCCTCCCTCCTGGACTTCGTTATATGTAAACTGAGTAGTGCCCGCAGCAGTGCCAGCAGCAGTGCCAGCAGTAGTGCCAGCAGCAGTGCCAGCAGTAGTGCCCGCAGCAGTGCCAGCAGTAGTGCCAGCAGCAGTGCCAGCAGTAGTGCCAGCAGCAGTGCCAGCAGTAGTGCCAGCAACAGTGCCTGCAGTAGTGCCAGCAGCAGTGCCAGCAGCAGTGCCAGCAGTAGTGCCAGCAACAGTGCCAGCAGTAGTGCCAGCAGCAGTGCCAGCAGCAGTGCCAGCAGTAGTGCCAGCAGTAGTGCCAGCAACAGTGCCTGCAGTAGTGCCAGCAGCAGTGCCAGCAGCAGTGCCAGCAGTAATGCCAGCAGCAGTGCCAGCAGTAGTGCCAGCAGTAGTGCTAGCAGTAGTGCCAGCAACAGTGCCAGCAGCAGTGCCAGCAACAGTGCCAGCAGTAGTGTGTTAGCGGTAAGAACACTAAAGTTACTCTCAACTTTACCTTGAGCCAGAGATACGTCACGAGGGCCACATTGTACAACTCTGGCCATCGCACTGAACAACATGAAATATTTTACTAAGGTAACGATGGGTCTCACACGGTACAGAATTTCTCTCCTAACATGTTGTGAATTGGAAATGTTCTCCGTAATGTTTTGGGTTATACTCTAACTACTGCTCGAGATGATAATCTATGGTAAGGATCTAGGTAATGCTTCAGGTAATACTTTAAATATTGATCTCGCTAATGATCTAGATAATGACCTAGATAATTACCTAGATAATGATCTTGGTAATGATCTAAATAATATATATATATATATATATATATATATATATATATATATATATATATATATATATATATAAACTATAGAGAACAGTCAGATACATGAATGAAAGCGCTCGAGTGTAAATGAGACTTGCCTCGCCTACTACACTTTTCTATATTAACATGTACCTCTCTCCCTCACATCCTACTCCTCTCCCACACTTTCCCTTCCACCTCTTCCAGAGAGCGCGGCTTCCTCCCAGCTTCCGTCTAGAAGTCAAGGAATCACACTATCCATCTTCATACACGTGTCCTCCGTAAGGCGCCATCTTGCCTGGGTAATGGACCGGTATTATGCTCCAGAGGCGCCCAGATGCACGGATGGGCGTAGGGGGGGTTGACGAAGAGTTGGGGGGTGGGGGAAGGTGTCCGGGGGTGGGGGGAAGGTGTCCGGGGGGGGGGAAGGTGTTGTATACTTATCAATGCTGGTTAGTATTGTAAATGTGTGGCCACGTCTGTGGTAGAACATATAAATCAAAACCAAAAACGTACATGACTATCAGTGACTACGAGGTAGTGAGGTTTCGCTCCTCATTCCCCGCCTATACTATCTTTGTTGTAAATGTTGCATTATAATTGGACCCTGCCCATTCCCCACGATATCTTGAATGTTGTAATCATGTTCATTAGGTATTGTATAAGGTTGTGTGATTTAATTTCGTTAGCAAATCCTTATAACTTGACCGTCTCAGTTCTGACAGTAATGTTGTTGCAAACCTCTACACCTTTTCATTTTTTCTTCTGTGATTTATAAGGTCCAGCAGTGGTCTTTAACATGCTGTATATATTGTCTTGAAAGAATCCTCATATGATGCCGATGTTACTTTGTTTATATTGGAACTATAACCATTCTCAAATTGCTTTCTCTTTCCGATTCCTATAGTTGCCTTCTTTCTTATGGTGTATAACAATTCTTCGTCTCATTTCTCCCATTCTCATTTTCATTACTTTATATTTGTTGAAAATACATTCTAGCAGCCGCTCTTGTCTGCCATTCTTGGAGATTGTCAGTGTTTCATGATATTTTCTGCAGATCTTCTCGATCTTCTTATTCCTCACTAACTTTACGTGATCCGAAATTTTGTTTACATATACGAACTCTCTTCCTTCTAACATTCATGTATGTTAGGAACAGTAGTTGTCCTTGCACCGAGCCCTGAGGGACCCCACTTGACACTTTCCTCAAGGACCACACCTCTCTGGGACTGTTTCCTGTTCTTCCAGTACGCCTTTACCCACTTATATGTCTTAATAGTTGTAACAGTTTCTTTCTTCGTCTTGTACACCAACAGTTTACGAAGAACACTATCAAATGCCTTTTCATAAGTAGTGTGATCATGGTGATTGGGTCAAGTTAGTTGTTGTTGGTCCTGATGGTAGGAGTCATGGTAGTGGGTAGTGATGGTGCTGCTGGTGGTAGTTATCCAGGTAGTGGGTGGGGATTTAGTAAGTGGTAGTGATGGTGGTGTGAAGACCACGTATCACCCCCCAGATGAGACCCGCCCGGGCAGTTGGGTGTGACCAAGCTGGTTTAGATGATGTAAGAAATTCATGAAACAAAGGCAAGGGAAGGCTATTGGAGATGGGGAGAAAGTGAGAGATTGGGAGAAATTGTAGATGAGGAGAACGTGAGAGATTGAGAGGGGAGGAAGCTGGAAATGGGGATTGGAAGAAGTTGGAGACAGGGAGAGGAAGGGAAACTAAGATGAGCCAGCAAGGCCAATATCGAGGTAGAACTCCAGGATACACATTGAAAACCAATAATGCTGGGAGGGAGAGGCGCTGTGAAGGTGGGATGGTGGATGCTGGCGTGAGGTGATGCTGCTCTCACATCCGCGGTCTCCCAGATGAAGAAGGATGCTCAGGCCATGACAGTGCGGAATGACTTCTTTTGGATCACAGATGTCACGTAGGACCCTTGTCCTGTTCTCTGTTTGTTGCACTCGACCGAGACATTGTTACTCTTAGAGTACATCACTCATTAAGCAGTAACAAGAAAAAATCACTGCTTTATACAAAAACACTCAACACAGCAACACCCAACACACCAACACTCAACAGACCAACACTCAGCACACCAACGCTCAACACACCAACATTCAACACACTAACACTCAACACACTAACATTCAACACATCAACACTCAACACACCAACACACCAACACTCAACACACCAACATTCAACACACCAACACTCAGCACACCAACATTCAACACACCAATGAACGCAATACTGATAAAAGTTATGCCACCGAGCAATTGTTTGCAACTCAAAAATGCAAGAAAAGTTGCCAGGGGAAAGAGCCTTCCGTGAAAGTTTTAACTTTTATTCGGCTTTCTCCAGTTTTCCTCGGCTTTCCCTGGGGAGAAGAGTTGTGACTTCTCAGAGAGTTATATTGGTGATGTCATCAGAGATCAGCTGGCTTTAGCGCTCTCAGTCCATGTTGTTGTGCTGCTCTGAGTGCTGGAGGTGCAAGTAGCAGGGCAGTGCCCACTCTCATACCCGGACCCATGCTGAACTGAGTCCAGAATTCCCTCTTACACCCGGGCCCTTGCTGAACTGAATCCACTATCATACCCGGACCCCAGACTACTCTGTAGTATGTGTACACATGTGGGTTGGGTCAAGCCAGCCTCACCTGAAGCGGTTATGTATTAACAAAAACTAAGGGACGCGAAGCTTAAAACTTTCTAGTGATATATGTTGCCAATATAAAAAGACCTCCTGTTTCACCACCTCGAACCCATAAGGTGGGTCTCTGGGGGTGGAATGGGGTGGTGGGTCCCTGTGTGGAGTGTGAAGTGGGTCCCTGTGTGGAGTGTGAGGTGGGTCCCTGTGTGGAGTGTGAAGTGGGTCCCTGTGTGGAGTGTGAGGTGGGTCCCTGTGTGGAGTGTGAGGTGGGGACCATGTGTGGAGTGTGAGGTGGGTCCCTGTGTGGAGTGTGAGGTGGGACCTTGGGTGTGGTGCTAGGTCCTTGACGACGTTGATCTCGGGAACAAGGAACATCCATTACCACTTACTGGAATAAAAGGCGTCAGTAACGAAGCACTCTACATATGAAATATTGTGAGAAGAAATGTTTCCTTGGGATTTAACTCGTGTGTCGGGCAACTGACGTACTGTTGGAGGAGGATCCGTGAAGAAAATGGTATTGATGCAGCCGGTCCTCTTAAGGTTTCCTAACGTCAAGAAACTGTCGCACTAAAGTGCCCTTATCCTAACCTACCAGAGGACCCAAACCAAAAAACGGAACATTATGTCACTTTCGCGAGCCGCTACCATTTTCTAGTACGGCAATTTTTGGCATTACGTAGAGTATACGTCAAAATGCGACGTTCTATTACGGGAAAGAGGTGGCTGACAAAGGTGTGGGAGTGGTCGTTCTGTTCTCTCGCTCCCAATACACTCGTGCCTCTTTATTTAGTTCCACATAACTTTCTGCTGCCCATTAGTCACTTCTCCCTTGCAGGGGCTGTACCTTGGTGCATAAGTTGTCCTAACTTCTCTACTTTCTCGTTTAAGCTTGAAATTCCTGTATATACTGGTACGTTCTGGTGGCACCAAGCAGCTTCCAGCATCTGCTGCTATTATATTTATTGCTCAGAGGCTCCACATCGTCTAACTAACCCTGGCACAATACATAACGATGTCTGAGGTCACACGCACGCCCGCACTCTCACACACACACACACACCAATGACCAAAGAGTCAAAGCTCAACCCCCGCAAGTACAATTAAGTGAGTACACACACACACACACACACACACACACACACACACACACACACACACACACACACACACACACACACACACACACACACACACACACACACAGTTTCCCTCTTTGTAATATCTCTTCAATGTTCCAGAAATATAACCTATAATACGTTGGCTTATTCTTGATAGTTTAGTTTGCTTCCTTCGTTACGATCCTCTGTTCATGAGGTGGTCCCAGGACCTCTCCCTCATAAGTTATTTTATTATTCGGCTCCATGTGTCGCGCTTGATGGAGTATAGTTCAGGATTTACAGTTATCGCAATTGGCTGTGTTGTCTGTGTGCCTATATTCACTTAATTGTACCTACTGGTCCGAGCGTTGGGCGTTGGCTCTTGGGTTTTCAGCCGGTTCTCATATAATGTACTGATGTTCGAATATTGGATTTCCTTCACTTTACATTTTGATTCTCTGCATGGGGTTAGTCTTAAGTGCCTCCTCTAACTCATTAAATTTATTCACTAGTTTGTGCTCATCTACTTGCATTTATCTTATTGTGCTTGCAGGGTTTGGGCTTCGGCTCTTTGGTCCACTCTCTCTACGGTAAATCAACTAGTGCACAGATTCCTGAACCTACTCGGCTTTATCATATCTATATTTGAAACTGCGTATGGAGTCAGCCTTCGCCACTTCCTAATACTTTCCAATTGTTAACTACTCTGACACTAAACAGTTCTTTATAATATATCTGTATCTCAACTAGGTTCTCAGTTTCCACCGGTGTTCTTTGGTGCATGTGCCACCTTCTAAATAGCATGCCTCTATCAACCCACTCATTCCCTTGATAATCGTATATGTGGTAATTATGTCTCGTCTAACTCTTCTATCTTCCAGCTACGTGAGGTTTAAATCGAGTAGCCATTTCTTGTAAGTCATACCTCGTAGTTCTGGGACTAGTCTGGTGGCATACCTTTACACCTTCAACTTCGCCCTGTTTTTGACTAGATATGAACTCCAGGCTGAAGCCGCACATTACTGGATTGGGCCGAAATATGTGGCATACAAGACTCTGAAGGATTTCTTATACAATTTGTTAATGCTGTTCTTATGTTAGCCAGTTCCCTATGACATCGTTCCACATTGTACTCGTTTGAAATTGTCGACCCCGGCTATGTTGGGCTCGTACCCGACAGCTATCACAGTGGAAAGTTTTTTGAGGCAAGCCTCAAGGGCTCTGACCTCCAATCTTGGACAGACAGACATTAATTTTTATAGATACATATTTTCTAGGTTTAAATTTGTTATGTTCATATTTTTATATCCAGTATTTATATTTTAATCTTCACGAACTCCCTGTCTTAAAATAAACTCGTCTCTGAAATCAGAAGAAATTAAAAATCCGGCAAATTATTTCAAGCTCTATTGAGCTTCGATGATTATTGGACAATATTTTTAGCCCGATACTGGCAAACAGTTCGTTACGTCAACAGTGAACTGCCTTAACGACAACCCGGTCGTTTTCGTTGCAATTAAACTGAAATCGCTAGT